CTTGTGGCAAGCTGTCTGCCTCATGTGGTTCTGCAAGCTCTGGGCCATGGTCTTCATTCAACAGCTGGATGTTGAACAACTTCCATAAAGTCCCGTCCAATTTGCAAAAGTTTTGTGGCAAATCCTTGTGGCCAAATTGCCAGCTCAGCAGAGCCGCATCAGTTCCCAAGTGCCTTCCTGCTGCTTTTTTTTCATCCTGCATCACGCCGCTCTCCTGTGAAGAGGAAGCCTGAGCTTATGGTCACTGTGCTGACCTGGGAGGCGAGCATCTGCCACAGGGTCACTGTCTGACCATGGACAAGTCACCTAATTTCTCTGTCATTCAGTTTTCCACCTTTAAAAGGGGGATAATAATAATAGTCCTGAGCTTTACAGGGGTAAACTGAGGATAACTTCCCTGCTCTTTAAGCAAGAGGGTAACTTCAAAGTAAAGCTAATAAACACAAAAATACAAGTCACCCTAGCAAAGCTTTTCCTGTGCATTTATAGTGGCTTGGGAAAACCATTTATATTTGTTACATTTTTCTGACACAGTTCTTTACTTTCATGCTGCAGACCTTCGTGTAAAACAGGTTCTGTACTGCTACCTGAAGCAGTCAGCAAGGGAGAAAAGGTTAAACAGCTCTTCTGACTGGGGTGGTTAGGGGGAAGAGCCACTTTTGGAGTTACATCTTGAGGTGATAATTGTCTGGCATTCAATCTAGGTAGTTCACACCAGAAATTACAGCATATGGCTGAAAACAACAGCAGAGTTCCCCTGAGAAGGAGCCTGTTGACACTAGTCTTTCCTCTCCAAATGCATTGGATGCACAGTGGATGCGCGGTGCAGAGACAGGCAGAGATACTCTCATCAGCTTGGAGGGAGCTGGCCTGGGAATGGGGTGCCCCACTGTGACCTCAGGATGAGCTCAGGTTCATCTGCCCTGCCCAGCATCGTGCGCCAGCTTGACCCAAATGTAGTGCCTGAGCTTGATTGAAAGCGGGAAAGTTAATTCCTGCCTTAGCAGCCTTAATGTAGCCCTTGTCCTGTTGACTTCAGAGGAACTGCTCACCTCCATACCAGGATGCCTGGTTTCACTCCAGGAAGGCAATACTCCAGATACTGGTAGGGCAGCACCAGGGAGGTAGGAGGAGAAGGTAGGGTAGCAGAGGGTCAAACTTGGTGTTGGTGCACTCACTTAAAAGCAGAAGATATCTGAGTAGAATCTGAAATCAGGAATAAATTACATCAGGGGGATGGATTTGGAAGGATCTGGCTCTTGGCTCTGCAAGCCCTGGGTTGAGCCTGCTGAAGCTTAAAATAATCCAAATGTATGAAGTATTTTACACATCTTGTATGACTCTACATGTTTACGTTCAAGTCCAGGGTCAGGAGCCCAAGGCTTGAGGCAGCGTCCAGCTTTGCACTGCTGACAAATGAAGCATTTGCTCTTGACCAACCAGAATGTCAGATAAAAGCCTTTTTCATCTTTCTTCACTTCTTCCCTCTTGTTTTTTTTTTGGAAGCCCTAATGGGTCTTTTTAATGATGAAACCACTACTATATAATATGTCTTTTTATATTCTATTTTTTTCCCTCTCTTGGGATAATTTACAGCACAGTGTGGAATTTGAGGCAGTTCAAGTTGTGCCAAAGGGCCTGGCAACAGGAAGAAATGCCGAGCCACTGTGATTTGGAACCATAATACAAGCTACAAAATTTAATTTTAGCAGTGCAGCTACTGGGAACTGCTTTTAAATGCACATTTTCCTTTTAGTGCATAAAATGGTCCTGTGTCTTGATTGAGCTGTTAGGGTGGCTTGAAAGAGTGCTCTGTAAAGTAAGGGGCATATAGAGCTCTTCAGAGATCTTTTGCTGCTTATTCACTGATACTCAAAACTAGAAGCTGGATGTTTATGAATGTTTATGTATTAAATAGTATGGGGATGTGTGGAATAGGGCATGGTGGATTATTTCCAGGAGTTTTGTGCCAGTCTGTTTCACTGCTGTAGCTGTGAGTTGAGAGAGGACTCACTAGAGGAACAGCACTGGCCACCTCCTTGCAGGGAGAATGGAGATGCAAAGAAAGCTGCAGAAGGCAACACTTCATGACAAGAAAATGAAAATTGGGAGCAGATAGACTGCAAGCTATGGTGTTCAGCAGAAGCCAAGGATAGTGTTCCCTTCTTCAAGGAAACAAGTAGGAAAAAAGATGTTTGACCTCTGGACTAGTGATCTGACATGCAGTCAAGTCAAGGTAACAGCGTCTTAGGGGAAGAAGGAGAAGGGATAAGCCACAGAGATTCATGAGACAGCCAATTTCCTGAGACAAAATGCAGGAATGGGATCAGGTTTGTGGGAAAAGGAGGGATGATGACATCCACTGCTCCACAAGAAAGTCCCCAAGCAGAAGGTAAGAACATGACATTTTTGGAGCTGGGGATCCTATTCCATTGATTAAATACAGATGAGATCAGGATATTTTCTCACAGTCCCATTGCAGTCAGTATCTTGCCCTCCATTTGAAGAGAGCATCTTTGAAAAGACAACTTGCATGCCAGAGACAGTCTGCTTTTGGGCTTTCTGCTGAAGGGCTGTTTCCTGTGTTCTTTAGAAGAACAAGTCCTTTGGGGGATGGGGGAAATTACGAGTGAAAATTTTGATGCCATCTGTTGGGAATGGGGCTGAACCATCCCATTTCACATATCACCAAACAAATCTGCTAGGCAGGTTTCCATTTCAGCCCCAAAAGATAATGTCAGCAGCCTTCCAGGGTAAGACACCTCACTTTTGAAGGACATCTCATGGGGCTGGACACCAATGGACACAAAAGTGGTTTTCAAAGTCTTGGCCATAGGTTAATGCTTAAGAGGGTGGAAAGAAGATTTAAAATTTGTGCTTACATCATGAGTAGCAGAGAGCAAGTGCTCCAGCAGACCAGACGAACCTCTTGTATGCTCTGTGTGCAGTCATTGTGGTTACCCATTGACACACAAAGGATCCCAGAGCAAAGAGCACCCACAGGCAACAGCTAGAAATTCATTACCTTAGTCCTTGCACTCTGCTCACTACTGCTACTGGTTATCTTGAAACCAGTCCTGCCTGTGATGAGATTTGTCTCTGCCCTTCCAGCTGAATCTGGATGTGATTGAATGCTCTGTTGGAAATGGGCCTTTCCAGTGTCTTCCACATCCCCTCCCAGACCCATGAGAGCACAGCACTAGAGCTTCATGGGGACCATGGTCTAAGGGCTGCACTGAGGAGTACTGAACCCCCTAGCAACTGTGTGGCCATGGCCAAGTCCACTGTGCACTGGATGATGCTGTTATGTCAGCATCTGCTCTCCTATAGTCAGATGTATGGTGGACCTCATGTTTTGGAAGCTTCCAATGCTACTAAACGAGACCTCATTACCCTGCAGTTTCAATTCTGCCATCTTATGGTGTTTCTTTCCTATTTCTGTCTGTAAATCCATTGCTAAAGGATCCAAAAATGGGATTTGTTTGAGTTTGGTATTTTAGAGCCTCATAGCACTTGTCTGATTATGGTGCCTTATGACCATCTGAGATTGAATTTTTGATGAGTTCTTCCAGTGCAGGTTTAACACAGGGGCCACTATAAGTTCCCTTCTTTAATGCATCCTCACAGGCATTCCTCATTTTAGAAATCCCTTCTCTCAGTGAGAGGTGTAAGAAGGCACTGCAACTTTTTGTGGATCTGGTTCTTCAGACTTGGCTATGTCTCGGGCTGCCCCATGATATGGTTACAATGCATGAGTGGTTTGTGTCTCCTGTGCTTGCAGAGAGGTGATTTCAGTTTAATTTCAGATGGCCGCTAGCTGGTTAGGTACTTTGCCAGTGGATGAGGGGTTAAAAAAAGGAAAAGAATTTTTTTTAAAGAAAAAAAATCAACAGACCTCATGTATCAGTGAGATTTTCTGATCTTTTTCCCCCCCCTCCCACAATAGGACATCGTCAGAAAATAGATGAGCAGACAAAGCCCGGGAGCTTGTCCTTTTCAGAGCGCCTGAGTGAACTGGAGCAGTTGCGTCGTACGGCCATGAGGGTCAGCCCACACCACCCAGCCCCCACACCCAACCCACGAGCCTCCTTGAACCACACCACTGCTTTTAACCCTCAGCCTCAGAGTCAGATTCAGGGTAAGTACCTGAAATCCTCCCCCTGCTCACCCACCTCCACCCCGCCAGCCTGTGAAGCATGGAGGCTCGCAGGTGCTGCCCCTTCATCCCTCCATCTCTTCTGGACTCTCCTTGGCTTCCTTTAATGAGTGAGAGCCTTTAATAAGTGGAAGGAGAGGCTTCCTAACATATGTTTGTATTTGTAAAGACCTGACAGAATTTAAGGGGTCCGTACTGGCCCCACTGTCTTGCCAGTGTCAGTACAGCTCACAGTGGTAACCTCACCTATGTTCGAACCCTAACGTCTTGAAAGCCGTTGTTTTCTTGCAAAGATGCATTATGCCAGGCCTTTTTCTATGTGTAGGTGTATTTCCCAATGGGTATTTATCAATTACATTGTGTGCTTGAATGAGAGAGAAATACCGTCAACGCCTTGCTTCAACATTTCCCGGGAAAGCAGTAGCAAAGAAAGCTTTGTAAAGTGCTTTGTCCCCTAAAGACAACCTCTTAGTGCTGAGACATTATTGTGGGCAGGCTGGTTTGAGCGTAGTTCTGTGGCCGATAGTTATCCAGTGGGTTTTATTTGAACGAAAACCTGCAAAACGGTGACTCAGGAGTCTGATTTCCTCCGAGGCTCAAGCTCAGATCATGCCAATGAAACCAGGTCATCTAGCTTGACATCTTATCTGTCACCGCTAGAGCTGAGTCTGTCTCTGCTAAAACCAACTCTGACCATGGCATCATCTGGAACTCGGTGAGCAGCGAATCAGGTCATTAAACCACCAGATGATACATGTTCTGCAAAACGCGTATCAAAGTGCAGGTTCACAGTGAGATGCACCTAAGAGAGTTTTCCTCTCGTCTTCCAGCCGGAATGAAATGGCCTTAGTTGAGGTTCTCTGCTGGGGTTTTGGGGAGAAATAGTTACTGTGAATCAGACTTTTGACATTTGTTTTTAAAACCAGGGTACTGTTTCTTGCATGCAGAGCAGGTTACCGCTTACTTCAGGCAAACACTTGCTACATCCTTTTATTCCCAAAGTTAGGAAGGTCTTTGGCTTAGTGAAACTACTGCAAATCTGCCATTGACTGCGCTGTGAGCAGAAGTGGGCATTCTTGAGAAGCATGGATAATAAATCAGCACATTGCCATGGGCCATACTGTAGAAAGATTTGGGCAGAAAGACAGTTGGCAGGACCACCCAGCTCCTTCCCTCCCTGGAGGCACGCCAGGTCAGCTCAGGCAAAGGATCCGATCCTCTCCCAGCCCCTGCCAGTTCCCTCACTTATCTTTGTGATTTCCAGAGCAAACCATGTTGGGTTTCTCTGGTGCATACCTCCGTTCCTATAAAAGAAAGCGCACATATTATTATGGCTACTCAGCAGCCAGCAGCTACGTGGGTGGAGGTATCGGTCGCAGACTGGCATTCTTCAGCTTCTTGGGAACACTATATGCTTAGCAGAGTATCAGGTTTAACGTCGAGTAACCCTCTTCCCTGGTTCCCTGTGAAAGGCCCTTGCTTGTACAACTTCAGAGCGATAGGCTTTTCATGCTCGTTCAGGGATTCAGCTGCTCTCTCCAGAAATAGTTTTGGTACGCTGCTCTGCTTTGCTCTTTGCAAACAAGGTTTTAATGCTCTTCACCTGCAGATGTAGCTCAGAAAATGATAGCAATAAAACTGTGAATGTACACCTCATTGATACCCTTCTCTTCAACTATCAGGCTGCTTCCTCCCAGTTCCCCTTTCCCTTTGCCTCCGAAATGTGCTTGTTATCCATTGAGGAACTTGTTGAGGCTTGCAGTCACTATCAGAAAAATAAGCCCCAAACTGAAGCCTCCCTTGTCGGGGACTGTGTCTGCTGCAGACGCCTTTCAATTTCTAGGGTTGTCTTTTCAGGGTCATGCTATCACAGCAGGGGAAAAGGGCTAGGGTGGAAATGAGCTTCAGCGCCATCGTTTTTTCCTTGTTATTCAAAGGATGATTGTTTTTGGGGCTGATCTCCTGTGTGATCTCTAAAGAATTTGTATATGTTATTTTTTTTATGTATTTTTAATAAAACCCACTACATTTCAGAATGCAGACCCTGAAAAACAAAACACTTCTGACCTGCTCCATAGCATGGCTCTGTCTATCCGTACATCTTTGCATCCTGAAACACTTCTGTTGAAACTCTCTCACTGAAAAGAGCACAGAATGTTTTTGATATAGGCATAAAATAAGGCATAAAAATCCCATACATTGCCAACTTCCAAGTAGTAGCATTAAACTTTGCTTTAACTCATATTGGCATGAATCACAGGCTACTCCTCTATTCATCCACGTGCAATTATCTTTTTATAAAAAAACAAAACTAACTCAAAGTAGACATCTCAGACTAGTTCTTGGTTTTAAAGGGGCAGGTTGCCATGCCACTAAACCACTGTTTATCTGTTGAGGTTTTAATCTATAAAAGGATTGAGGTTAATTTTAACTTCCTATTTTACAAAGTCTTGAATTTGAGCATAAAGCTGCTTGTGTCATGGATACAAGTCCAAGCAAGTTAAGAGACCATAAATTGCTATAATCGAGTTTTATGCTTCTTTCATATCACAGGGAGGGAGAAAGTACACCTGTTCATTTAAGAGATCTAACCATAACCAATTCACTGGCCAAAGGGGAACAGAAGGGGAGAAAAAGCTTCTACCACATCACACATGGTTTAAGTTGAAAGATTACTTTGTGCCAATACCAAGCATATAATGTCAAAGGATTTGACCTACACACACAGCATAAGGAAATTCAGTTAAAGGTCCAAGCCCGGCCAATGCTTCAACCTTAGCTCACCCCTTCCTTTGTATGGGGGTTGCTGGGGAAGAAAATAGACAGAGATGTGTGAGCTGTGCTGGGTTGTTGTTTAGGAAAGTTTAGTTAAGACCCATGGAGAGCAGTGAAGTTTATATGTATAATAACTATATCTGTCTATATATTATGGTTGAGTTTTTTCTAATACCAACCTGAACCAGATACTAAATACATAATTACTGATTTTACAGTGATTAACATTAACTAGAGTAGGTAGACCTGTAATTCAAGAGTTTTACATAAATACAGATCTATATGGTTCTTTTACAGTATCATTTTTTTCAGAGCCAACAGAAGTATCCTAAACATGTAAATCATCAGGCCAGGAAGGTGTTCTTTTGGAGGCATTAATGTTTAGTTAATAAATTGCATAAATAAATTTCCAACTAGTGGGGTTAGGAATATCATCCAAAAACATGTGCAATCAAATAGCTTCTATTTTTTTTCCAAATTAGCCCAAATGTTTCCAACTGGTGATTTTTAAATTACCCATAGGTTAAAAAAAGATAAACAAAATAAAGCTATTTCGCCTGTCTAGGGAAAACAAATAATCATTGTAATCACTTTAAGATACATGATTCTGGTTTTTTTTCCCTGCTTTTATAGCCTTAAAAATATATGAGTTTGCTTGCTCACTTTTTTTCTTTTCTTTTTTTTTTTTCTTTTTAATTTTGTAACCTTATATGTTAAGTTTCAGCTGGGACCATGCTTTTATGGCCAAGTCTAAAATCCCTGGAAACAAGAGGCTGTAATAAAATTGCTGACTGATCTGCAAAGCAGCAGAATTAACACTGATAGCAAAGCAAGAGAAATAATTTAAAGATCAGCTCTTTGAATTAGCAAGAAACATAATGACTGAGAGATTATTTTGTTACACGCCAGCCTTTTGTCTTCCTCCAGGTGCAATACACTTTGTTTAAGAGACATTTCAAGGTCCTTGCTATCGTAATCTAGTTCCACCAAAAACAGCCCAACTTTATCAGGGTTCCCATGAACCAGTGAAACACAGGAGCGAAGTCAAGGGCAGCCTTTAAGCCCAAGGAATTAAAATGGCTTTGTTCCTACTATGGCTGTATTCTGCCCCGATTTTTAATATTTCCACTTTGAAATCAGATTAATAGGCCATGGGTTAGTAGAGTTAGAAGTGCTCACAGGGCAGCATTGCTGAGCAGGCTTCGATGGGTCTGTCCCGCTGCCTCAGTTTTCAGGAGCTTTTGAGAATCCAGACTGACGGGCTGGTAGCTCCCTGCCAAAACAGATAAACAGACTCTCAAGATTAGGGACTTGCCAATTCCTTCTGTTGTGCAATACGCTAAATGCCAATATTTTTATGTTCTCTTAGGACACATCTGTGTCTCCCTGTCTTTCCTTAACCTGTCATGCTCGCAGAGTGACTACATGGAGCTTTATTGGCATATCATCCCATTTCCACTTGATTAACCACCTGACCTCTCCATCCCAAAATACACTCCCCAGCATTTTGAGCGAGTGCTGCCTGAGCTTGGCACCCTTCCTATTGGCGTTGCTCCTGCCTCCCCCTGGCCAGTGGAGTAGCGGGGGATGAGTCGCGCCAGCACACCAGCAGTCACCATGGGCAGCATGGGCAGCGCAGGCAGCATAGGAGCTGGCAGTGGGTGCATAATTTCCAATCACTGTGGCCAGGGCTGCCAAGCTCCCTGGCTCCAGAGCTTCTCCTGGATATGAGGGAGCCCTCCTCCCCAGCCCCAGAGTACAGTTTCCTCACCAGGAGCCATGTCATGAACATTTTGTTAGTGGCCAGGGAGATCCCCTTTGATGGAGCTCCCCTCCATCCGGGAGCCTGCTTTGGGTGAGGTAGAGAGATGCTCTTTCTCCTTTCCCATCCTTGCATTGCCAGTAGCCACCACATAGCTCCAGCATGGGGAAACAGGAGGAAGTGAACGGTGGCATGGACCCAGACCTCGAGTGCCACAGTCACTGGGAGACCACAGGAAGTTTGTTGAAAAAGTGATGTTTTCTCAAATTATTTTGCAAACCAAATCTGCTTGACTGTAAGGTTTCCAACTGGCTCTATGAGAAAGGAAATTTTATAGAGAGAAAATATCTCTTTACTGAAAGTACAATATGTTTCTTTGATTCACAGTTATTGCTCAGCATGTAATACTTTTATATAATGCCATGAGTAACCTCAGCAGTTCTTC